ACAAGTTTCTGCACATGCTAATATGTATGCTATTAAAAATATTAGTATAAACAATATACACATCAATACTGTTGTACAAATATAAAGTTAACTATGAATAGTTCATTGAACTTAATAGAAACAAAGAAAAAATTATAACTGTAGTAAGTTAGTAGTTTTTTATCATGTGAGTTATTACTAATAATAGTTGTATTATGTATAGGTGAAAATTATGTTCGTGAAAATGGCATCTCTCCGCTAAAACAAGGCTATAGTAATTTATATAATTCAAATATTAATCCTTCCACATTGGCTAGCTTTGCTGGTGGAGCATTTAGATCATTGCACAGCCTAGTACCATCCGTTTTTAAGTGAGTGAAATAAATTACTTAAGCACAAAAGAACAAAGTACTTAATTGTTTTTATTTTTTGTATTTTCAATGCTTCAGCTTGGTGAATGAAGATCGCGAAAACGGTGCTGCGCCAACACGATTCAGTGAATGGATGAACAAGCCTGGAATTATACAAAGACCTGGTAACTATGATATGTTCCTGAGAGGTATAGCGACACAACCTCAACAAGCACAAGACATATTTTTCAGTGAAGAAGTGAGTACATAAATCGTGTTATGATTTATTACTTTTTCTTATCTGAGCTATTCATGAAATAAAAGTTATATTTGCACCAAAAATAGCACAACATTTTAAATTTTAGTTGAGATGTAATAAATTTAAATAATTTATTTAATAGCTATCACGCTCATTAATATATTAAACAATTATTCTAGGATATTATATATATATATAAATTATATTATACTCGTATAAAAATCATTAAATTAAGAACGTAATTGATTAATACAGAGAAAATATTTAATGATATACCTATCGAACAAATTTGTAAGTAACGTTTTTATCTTACTTGTATATTACCTATTATTATTAGTTTTAAGTTGAATCTGGATTTTTAATTTTTGTTTTTCTTTATTGATTGTTTTGTGGTATTATGTAGGAATAAAAATTGAGGAATATTTCAAGGGCTATGTGTAGTATTTAGTTTATTTTGAATACCTAATTAAAATTATCTCGGAATATTTTATAAGTTATAAAAAAATAATACTTATTTATTTTAATGTTCAATTTATAATTTATTTTAATTTTAAGCAAACTGTGTTAAGTTGATCATATTATTTGTGTATCTAATGACTTTACTACACAGGCAATGATAGTTCAATAAGTTACTATGTCGTTTTTATTTTACATATCATTTTGATAAAAAAAAAAAATAAATAAAATATAATATAATATTAAAGCCTATATCTTTATGTTCATTCATAATTTTTTATAAAAAAAATATTTTCTAATTGTTCAGAGGATATAATTAAAGAAAATGTTTGTAGGATTTCTTAAAAAATATTATCATTATACTATGGTTTTTTTTTTAAAATATAAAAATTGGATTTTAATTATTTTAAGACGTAGGTTTAAAGTAAATATTAACACTACAACTTTATTCATTGAATTATAATTTTTTTATTCATTCTATCAAAACGTAAAATAACTATATCATTACGTTGATAATTATACATTTACTATGTTTATAGTTTGTAATTAAAAATTTTGTTTTATAATTCAATTATGTATTTTAATTACATTACATTTTCATCAAAATTTTCATTTTTGATTATCATGATTAATAATTATTTTGTTTACAACTAAATTGAATACTCAGAATAAACTAAACGTTAAATAAAACTATTAACATAATATTTAAAAATATTTAACTACAACTACTAATTATTTGATTGAATATTTAATAAAATAGTGGTTTTTTATCTTTAGATTACTGATTTGCTATTCAGAGCAAATGGACCTCTGGGACAAGATTTAGTAGCAAAAGATATTCAACGTGGTCGGGACATGGGAATACCGTCGTATAATCACTTTAGGACATTATGTGGACTACCGAAGGCTACTTCGTTCGATGATATCAGAGACGTCATGGACGAAGAGGTAATTTTTAGAACAATAATTATTAATCAAGGACCATTTTGACCGTTAACACTTTAAATTATTTTATTTACAGAGAATTGAACGATTAGCTAAAATCTATCCAACAGTCGACGACATTGATTACCTAGTTGGTGGTATGCTCGAAAGAATTATTCCCGGAACGTTAACCACTCCTTCATTTAGATGTGTCCTCGGAGAAGGATTCTTCCGTTACAAAGCAGGCGATCGATTCTTTTACGAGTACGATATATCACCCGGAGCTTTTTCCCCAGGTAAGCATTAAATATTTTTCACTGAGTACTTCTGCAGCTGTCAAGCATTATATATATATAAAATGATATTAGGCTCACGTTTACAGGATTACTTTTGTTTTAAAATTCAACCAAACATTTAATGCAATTGAAGGCATCAGTGCAATAACAAAATATCTCCATTTTCTAAAACTTTTCAGGAGACACATAAAATTTAATTTAAAAATTTTCAATGACCAAATACCAAATTTTTTTTTTTTAATATTTGTAACTGTATTTTACATTGAAACTGAAAAATTGGTAAAATAAAAAAAAAATTACATTTTAAAGTTGTAGTTTATTAATAATTAGAGCTATCTGGTTCTTACACAGAAATGTCGGGCTAATTTATTTTTATCAGAAAATACTATAAATTTAAGTCGTATTTGAAAAAAAATTGGAGCTGTCTTGTTATTGTATTGACGCCTTCGATTTTTATTTTTTGAATTTTCAAGTATCGATACTTAAATATCATATTAAAATAATAATATTTTTTTTATGCCATGTTAAGAGTATCCTATTACGTTACAAAATTGTTCTTTTTTGCGAATGAGTACATCATCATCAATCCCTTTTCTATAAATAAAATTGTTGAATAGTTGATTTTTTTTTTTTTTTTTTGAAAATGTTTTTACCTTCAACGTATAGTACAAAACAATGTTTACAATAATTATAAAATGATAGTATAAAAATATTTATTGTTTTAATAATTTTTAAATTATCATAGCCTCTATAACGTCTAAACCTAATAATTATTTATTTATTCAAAGATAACTAAGATAACTCTTGAGAAAAAAAGAATAATATAATTTGAATAAATGCATAATTTAAAGACAAAGTAAGGATTGGCATGGTTGAAAAATCATTCTGTATAGTACAAACCAGTAATGATCATCATTATTAATTTTCTGTCACGCATGTACGCTCATTCCGAAAAATTTGCATCTAACGACATCGTTTTTAACGTTAATGACAATGTTTCAGATCAACTGTCCGTTATCAGGAGGTTCTCGTTGTCTACTCTCATATGTTTGACTGGCGATAACATACAAACGATGCAGAGAAATGCATTCCTACAAATCAACCCTGGGTAAATTTTTAAATGCTAGTAATATATTATATACAAAAATAAATGTAGATATAAAATGTAATTTGCACATCATAATTCACAGGTAATCAAAAATATGATTTTCAATATGTGTCAAAATAACGATATTATGCAACTTTTGCCATGCATAAATTTAGACGATATTGTATTTGAACCGAATTAAAATTCACTACATTAATCAATATTTACTTTAATTCAAGTTTTATGTTTCTCTCGTAAACCTAAACTAAAAAAATGATACGTTCTTTTGAATACAAGCACCTAAAATCTCGAACACAAAGATGGAACTTATTATAAAAGTGCAATTCAAAAAATCAAATGTATCTAGATACAAAAATTTGTACTTAAATAGTTGTACACAATTTTAGTTACTCGGTTTTTGCAGTCGATTATCAGGGAAATATTATACACGTCTTGTTAACTACTTATATATTATAGTAGATTTAGGTACAATTGATTTAATTCTAAGATATCATGACATCGTTTTTAATTTCGATATAAAAATGGCTATCTTAGATACCATCAATTTATGTGAAATGTAAATTACATTATAGCAATTTTGGTCAATATTTTTTTATACTTGGGATCAATTTTTGCGCAAATTACATATTACATATAACCGTTATATTATATAAAGGATGTTGATCGATTTAAAATTTTATTTGTTCTTTATATATTTATTAACATTTGGTTTTATCTCCAATATAGGAATGCATTGGTCCCGTGTAGACAGATCTTAACGGAACTAGATTTGTCACCATGGAGATTCCAAAGTTAACCTCGTATAGCCATTGTTAATAAACTTGGATGAAGAGGAGAAAAAAATAAACGTTGCGTTTGTGATATATTGTGTGTATTATAGTATCAGATGTTAGTCTTAAGTATTCAATGTTTAATTATTTTTATGTCGTATAAGTATAAATTATTATTATTTACATCGTTACCAAGATTTTAACACAAATCGTCCGAAGCTCAGAAAAAAGTTTAAATGGAAACAGAACTAAATAGTGCCAATGTATATTATTTTTTTTTATATTTATATATAAGCTGTTTTTGTTCAGAAACTTCAAAAAAATAAATATATATTGCCTATTTCATCAGCGATTTCAATGACTAAAATGATTATTAGTAATATTATTGTTTCTGTCGCGAACTTTTTAACGTACCCTTGAATTTTTTTTTAATTTAATAATTTACCATTATGTAATTCTTTTCACAAAGAAGGTTGTTGAACATATTTATATACTCTTAAACGTGCCATGGCAAAATACATAGAAAGAAAAAAATATTTTTAAGTATAACGCATAAACATCATTATATTTTTAAAAACGTTGAGCCAATATTTTATAACGGTTTTTGTTGACGGTGTCCTTTATCCCGTTAGTGAAATTATTATAAATGCTTCTTTTGAATATATTATGTGTTTATTCCTAAAATATTAGTTTTGTATTTAATTTATTATAAATGTATATTTACGTAGAACGTAAGTTAATAGTTAATGTATCAATATACCTAATTATATTATTAATTGTATGTACTTGTATAAAATAATGTATTGACTTTTATTTGTAATAAAATTATATATATATATATATATATTTAATATGATTCTGTAAAAATTATAAAGTTTTTTTGTTTCTGTTTTATTTGATTTAATTACAAAAATCCATCTTTTTCTAGCGTCAGTTTGATTTTTGCAACTTTCTCGTCACTGATTGTTGGTAACGGAGATCGACACAAACCTCCTTTATAGCCCAACAGTTCCATCGCAGCTTTTAGACCGGCCGGTCCACATTCTTGCATCAGCTATAAAATAATAGAGTTAAAAATTCTAAGTTAATTTATTTACAATGAATATAATAATTTCATTTTGATTGATATCAGTTGACTGATCAACCTCAATAAATTTAAGTAGTAGTAAATAGTAAATTTTAGATGAAACAAATTTCGTATGCCAGAAGTGATCTAGGTAGGAATTGAAATATTTATATTATAATGTTTGGTATCACATTATATTATTAACATATTTACGTTGAATGAATATAATCAATTTCTAAATTTATATCATCGCCGGCGCTGTAGTATGGTAGCCGTCATGTAATAAAATGATTATTCATACTATTTATAATAGTTTGGACTTCTATGTTACTTCCATTACACGCATGTACGAAACTATATTTATGGAGAAAAAAAAGGAAATCCATGACAAAATTTAATACAGTTATTAGTTATTTAAGGATTTACTAGGTAATTTTTGAAACATTCATTAGCAAATGTGAGTATACGTAAGTATCTATAGTAGAAAGTCGTAGAAAATCACCATCCAACCGTACTCCAGATCGTGTTTTTGATCAAATCGTATAATGAAATTGCATAAATAAGTGCGCATTCTATCACGTTCTATGTATAAATCAATCAAAAAACTCACCAGCAAATCGATATTGACGAGTTTCCTCTGCAATTTCAAAGCCTCTTGCCACTGACCCGCCACTGCCAATTTGTGCATTTTACACAACGGTTCTCCAAGCACAGCAGCCAGACCATTTATGCCACCCGAGCATCCTTTAAGTAAAAAACTTAACCTTAACGGAATTATCTCAAAGGGACGATAAACAATGTAAGAATATTTAAATATATAAGTCGTGTGATTTACCAACGAGCATTGCAGCCAATAAATAACTCGCCGAGCCAGCGACGATTTGGAATCTCTGATCCTGTGTTTCGGTGACCAGTGATGCGAGTTTTCCCATCTACACGATGTGCAAAAAATGTCAGGAACAAAAAGAAAAAGAAAAGATAGTTACGCTCATTTTTTTCTACCATATTCTTATTTTCGTTTATTCAAATAGCGCGCGGCTTACGTCTTTATCCTTGACGCCGACGATGTTCGGGTGTAAGGACATTTTCTTTAATATGTCGACGCTGAGGTCGATACCGGTAACGGGCACCATATTGTACACAATGACCGGTACAGGACATGAGTCTGCTACCGATACAAAATGCTTGTATAACGAGTCCTCCTAAAAACTCAAATTATAATAACAAATTTCGAATAAAAATTATAGATTTATATATAGTAAAACCAAGCATTTTATTGCTTATAATATGGTTTGTAGATGTTTTAAAAAAGATGATTGTCACAGAAACTAATATCACTATACTATATTTTGATTTTTTGTATAGAATTATTACAGTTTTCAGTATAACTTTTTTTTCAAATCTATTAAATTTTAATTTTTGACTAATCGCAAAACGGTTAAAAGTTACCATTCTGCCTAATATATTAATAACAACAATTATTCAATTGTTGAGTAAAATACAACATTATTATTATATACTATAGTTATTTATTCGAAATATTTTAATACAACAGTGAGACCGTATTATTTAATAACATTTTAACTAAATTTAAATCGATAGATAATGGAATACTACTAATCTAGAAGATAATTACAGTAATATTGTATATTAATAGTCATTTATTAAATACCACAGCGTGATAGTAAACGAGAATTCTGGTTTTACGTTATCCAATTTGATATAATAATACCCAGATATATATTATCGTATACCTTTGATTAGTTTAATAAATATGAATAGTATATTTTACAGTACAGTGATCTACAAAAATTATCCAAATGTTTAAAGTAAGAACTTTTCCGTTACGTTTTATAATATTGTCACAGAAGGAGAAAAATAATCACGAACGTTGTACTTGTTTCATTAATATTAACTATAATATATTATACCTATTCTAACGTTCTTTTGTTTCTTTTTTTTTTTAATATACACTTAGGTAAGTACATGCATATAATATTATATACAGGATATTTCGACATGTTTATCCTAATTCACCCCTCCACCTACTAATAATATTCTATGCCTAATCTTCTATCCAGTTCCTGCCTCCAACCTAATTCTTAAAGTGCACATATACATAGGCAGTGGATACATTATTGAAATCAATGATTTAATATTTAAAATATTTATATTAATTAGCGTTGTAAACTGACTTACATTTTTAAGAAACACGGTAAAAATATTTTAAAATTTAATAATTGTACATAACTCATACATTAAACATTTAAAAAAATTATACTTAAAATATATTAAACAAAAAAAATATTATGAATGAATCAAATAGGTACTATGAAATGCCTTGTATATAAGTTAAATTTTTATTATTCATTTTTTTTTTTCGAAATGAAACCTTTTTAATTACTAGTCATTCTACAGCATTTTAGTCGAGAAAAGCATTTATTTATTTATTTATTTATCCAATCACTTCAAAAAAATTTAACATATATTTTATGATATAAATGATAGCAAAATATGAGCAGGATAAAAAATAAATAAATGTTTTTATAACGTATTATTAGTTAGATTTTCAGTACCCACCGTCATTCTAGTTTTAAAGTAGAATGGACTCATCACCAAAACGCCATCCGCTCCAACTTCAGCCGCAGCTTTACTAAGGTCACACGTCAACTTAGTTGCTATGTAAATAGTATAAATTAAATTAATTGCATATTTATATTAATTTACTATTTTTATCAACAATATAACTATATTTTACAATATGATTTTAGAAAAACAAAGTAATAGAGCAAATATTCCAGTATACAATATAATGGTAAACATATTTTTAAATTCTTATTATACCTACATAATGCATATTCAATAATGCTTTAAAATATAGTTGCCGATTAATATTATACGTTTTTTCAAAAGTTTTGGAATTGATTTTATCTATAGATAATTTACACACGAGAGTTAAAATCAAAATCACGTGACCCACGGTATTTTTAAGTTCAGTGAAAATCGCTGAAAATATTCTGTTATTATTTAATATTTATAATTTTATCTTACATTCACAAGTCGTCCCAGCAATCAGCAGTTTATCTTTTCCAATCATAGATCGAATTTTGGATACCATTTCTATTTTTTCTTCAGCTTTTAAATATGGTCCTTCGCCATTAGATCCACCCACACAATATCCTGAAAAAATAACATAGTTATTAGTTATAAATAACTTAGTTTTTATACGACTAAATTTCACATAAATATCATAAAATTTTTTTACCCAAATAGTGAAAAATAAACACAATAAGCTCATTGTATACTAAAACAAAAGTTGTCAATTTTCAAACAAGTTTTTAGATGTTAAGTAAAGTAAAGTGCTTTTAAAACAGTACAAATTTAATTTAAAACCATTATAATATGATAAATTATCTTTAATATTAAATTATTAAATTATTATCAAATAAGTTTCGCAATTTGATTTTTTTTGTATACAGAGCTTTAAATTAAACTTTTGTCTCTTTTATTAGTGGTATAGAATCAAGTTGAACGTACAATAGTATAAAAATAAAATAGTTTCTGTAAAACGTTGTACATGAAAGTTGTTTTATAAAACTAAGTGCGTTCAATCATAAATAAGTAAAGTAATTTTTCAGTTGCATTTTATACTTTGTTATGAAAAAAAAAGTTAAGCCTCACTAATAGTTGGGGTAATATAAATTCTTTACAAATTTAAATTTTGTGGAATGTTTAATGCAATGTGTTATTTTTTTTATAATGTATAATATCATATTATCTAACATTAAATTATTAAATCGATAGTTTAAAAAAACAACTATTTTAGAAGCAACCAGATAAAAAATTGTAATTTTTTCCTTCGATTCTTAAGAGTTGTGATTTACTCAAAGTTGAATTTTAAATCTACACGATTTTCGTAGAAAAAAATTTAACTTTAATTTTCCCGTATATTATTATATACAAATAGATTTATTTATTTCATAGTAATAATATTTCTGTTTTGATTTTATGTGTTAATTATGCTTTGTGCGCTTAGTCTTATATTTTACTTCTATTCAATAATTATTATATTTTGAAATACTTTGGAGATAAAATATTAAGACCCTTAAATTATTTAAAAACCACAATGAAATTTTTAACGTTTATAAGCTCACAATAAATGAAACTATAAATCATATTATTTGTACGTATACAATATATTTTTAATACACTGTTGAATTTAGTTATTATTGTATTTAAAATATACTTTTAAAATGCATCAAGACCTTTTATAATTTACATCGCGGTCGATGTTATGATCGTATTAGAATAATTCCGTTCTTTGTACACAGTATACATGTGATTAGTAGGTATTTATAAGAGTAATATGATTATTAATTTATCAGTCATATTTAATTGTTATGACAAATAACTCAAAAACAAACAATGAAGGGAAAGCTAAGTATAAGCATACTCCTGTTATCTTATGAAATATTAATTGGATAAACATAACGATAGGTTTCTATACAAAACTTATCCTTACTATAACGCTATTTTAATATGCGTATTTAATGAATTACTAACAAGGTTATTGCGGTTTATCTATCCAAATTACGACTAGAAAAAGTTTGTGCACAATATAATATAATATCATTAATTTTGTATAAATATTTAAACAAAGGTGGCGCTGACGTTTTAAACCATGCATTGGCTTCGTGTTTCAATTTCACTCGACTAATGTTTATAAACCTAATATTATAGCAGCATAATAAATAGATAATAATATTTATAATTTTATGGAGTCGTGGTCACCTCTGAACGGTATTTTTTCCCATCGCTCGAAATTGTACGCCAGCGCTGCGTAGTCGATGTCACCGTTGACCCGGTATGGTGTAGGTATGGGCACAAACACTCCGCCGAGATCGAAATTCGCCACAACGGATGAGCTGCTGCTATGTCGGCGTAACGTTACCGCCGGTCTGAACGCGTTAGAAATCAGTTGTAGTTGTAGGCCACGCATTTCGAAGTTTTCTATATCTGCTTAGACTCGGACCAAGTTTCAGAATCAGACTAAGACTGCTGCTCGAACGGCACTTTCAATAGCATATCGTGGGCATGTCCAGGCAGTCGCGATCGCCATGAAGCCCTAAAGGGTTCCGATGAAACTTCGGTAACATTAATTCGATACCATCATAGTATATTAGTATCGCGATCGGTGGTCTGAGACATTAGATCCCATCATGACGCAATCGTTATATTATTACCGTGTGTGATACAGAGGTTCTCAAACTATTTTTATTTTTTGAAAGTAGAAGTATATAGTGTCATACGTTTTTTCGACGGTCTATATAACATTATATCATTATATTATAGGTCGGCCACTTGATTCAACCGATATAACAGTTACGGTTGAATTTAACAAATTTTCTGTGTTTTTGAGCAATATTAAATAGTTCCCGTTCAACTGGTTTTTTTTTAGTAAACATAACTTTATTGTACAGTATATAGGTAATAAAAGTTTAGATTTATAAAAAAATAACTTATTCGTTTTGGTAACAAACAGCAAGTCATGACTCAAATAAACCGATTTAATATTTATATTGTATAACTGATGAAGATATGAAAAATAGTATTTGACTGGAAATTAGTTGGTTGAGTTAATCTTACAAAGTAATAGGTTTTGTGAAAAATCGTCCAATGTTAATTTATTGTGAAGGTTTGGCTGGATAGGGTTTGGCTGGATTTGACAGTATTTTACTTTATAGTTGACAAAATGAAATTAATTTCAGAAATGTTCAAAGGAACATTGTATAATAATATATGTTAATAAGTCTTTTAAGCTAGTGAACCAATTATTATTTTAGGTTAGTTATATTATAAGGTATGGTGTGCGTATAGTATCTTGTGTTGTGGCATTGGCCTAAGCTATACAATGTAAAAAAAAGAGATTGGATGCGTTTTGTCAATCATGCAAAAATTATTTAAATCCTGAATATTATTTAATACACGTGTGTATATCCTTGGGTGCTGCAACTTACGGTTTGTTTGTAAACCACTGCATGGTAATATATATGATCATGCTATAATAGTGAATATCGTGTATACTGTGTAAAATATTATAATATATCAAATATAGTACCAATACAACAGATACCATTCAAAAGTCGCGACCTTATAACACCATATATTATTATGTAATTTCCTAATGGTCTAACTCACTATACAACTATAAGACGTATACATAGATTCGTCCAGGATGTGTACAGTATATTATACGTATTATACTATTATTATATATTATATTAGTATACTGCATAACCATAGATATTTGTATTTAGTGAGATACAATATTTTTTTTTTCATTCATTTTAATATTAGTAATCTAAACGGTTCATTTGGAAGTACACTGCAAGATTATTAGCTAAGTTGAATGCTTTACGAAATATTAAATGTCCCATAAATATAATAAACAGCGCGAAGTCAGGTGTAATGGGTACCTCTTAATGTAGTTGTTGCGGTCATAAATAGTTGTGTGTATAGCAATGTGTATAGTAGATATAACCTATATAATATCTATCTATATATTAATTGCAACAGGGATAGCTGCATAATATATTAACGGTACGACCTGCGTTGCTATTATAATAATCTATATTATATAATATCACATACAATTATATACTTGAAATTTTTAATTAATAATTACTAAGAAAGGATGTAGCGTAAGTAAAAGTCTAATATATTTTATTATTTAAATAATGCCGGCCAACCATCCAACTGACTGACTCCATATTATAATTAAAAATCACGGTTATTATAAAAAAGTCTGATTAAAATACAAAAAAGATGATTGTTATATTATTATAATGCGAATATTTAACGAATCCAATTTTTATCTTTTGTTCAAAATATATAAATATATAGTATACTATACACATTTTAATTTCGTGTAATATTCTTCTTTTACAAATTTAAATTACGTAAAGTACTTACATGCTCGACTGTTTATTCATAATCGTGCCTCGTTGGAACTTTTTTTAATTCGTTATTCTTTAGAAATGGAACAGTGTTATTCATAAATGAATGTTTGAACTAGCGAAATCTTCGCGCTATAGTCTACGGTAAAATGTATTTAATATTTTAATATTTGCAAATACAATAACAAGCAAATAACAAACACAGAACTAATGCATATTATTATTATAATACAATGTCAACGCTCGACATCCAATAAAGAACCATCTCATTGCTGACAAAAAAAAAAATGATCGTAATGCGATTCAAATGGTTTTGAAATTGAAATATATTTATCGTGTAACCCAATAGAAGATGATACAAAATAATCCATGTACAATTTATATGATAATCGAATATTATATATTTATATAGTCGAATTGTTATTTTTCAATGAACCAAAACGTATATATATATATATATATATATATATATGTATTATTACTGACACATGTCGGAAAAGGATGTTATTATTTTCTGATTTTATTGAAAAATACAAAAACACAATGTCGAATAAACTGAAAAACAATCAGTTAGTTCATTAAAAATAAAAATACACAAATTATAATAATCATTGAGGCATGATCGCCTTCAATGATTATTGTAATTTTTAATATTGGGTCTAAATTTAAAATGTATTATCTTTATATATAACCATAATATTATAAGGGAAATATCTTTAATTTTGTAAAACTAAAAATAAATCAAGTGTCATAGCAAATTAATAGAAAAATAAATCCATCAAGAAAATTGTATGGTAATAGTAGATCTTACGTTTGTGACTGAAGTAGTAACCAAACAAATACTTTTTAGTGAACAAAGTATAAGTACTTAATTTTAAGATGATTTCGAATTTATCGAATGTTACGAATTATAAAAAATATAAGAATATTAGGTAATTATAGAATATACAACAATTGTGATTTTTGTTGGATTCTCTCATCTTTGACGAGCATGAAATTAAGTGGAACGATAACAATTATATTAGTATAAAAGTAATGAATCACTTACAGATTATTATTCGATTAAATCTCAAGTGCCTATGTGTAAATGAGTATTTTTTAACTAAAAATGTCGTTTACTAAATTTAAGTGTCTATCACTCTCTATTTTTGACGTTATCTATTAAACTTTACAAATAACCATACACGGCAAATTTGATTACGATTATTTTAATTTTCATAATTTTATCGTCATCGGTAGACTTTAAATACAGAGCTGCTGATCCATAACGTATTCATATACGATCGCGACGCCGTCGATTACCGCAGTTTTAAGTATAATATCTGTCCTTATATTGTTCAATTGTGTTTATCGAAAGTCGAGACATTCAAAAATCAAAATGAACTCTTTCGGCCTTATCACATTGGTGGCATTGTCAGCAGCGCTGTCGTGTTCGGCTTACTACTACAGAACCTTGTCACCGATAACGCTTTGCTTGAAGAACGACTTCTCGTGGTGTACCAACGTAACGTACCCTAATGGATGTGTGAACATGAACACGGTGGTCATGAATAACACCGGAAATGCCGAAAATATCACCACCACCAGTTATGTGACCGCATTCAAGACTATCGAGGCAATAATAATGGTCGACATCGACAGCACTGAGGAAAAATGCATCGTACTGTATGACACGTACAACTGCCAGGGCCAAAGTATAGTGCTCAATGGTTCCAAACACCCATCGGCAAGACTCGAGGATTTCGGTTTCTCCAATCGGGCAGAGTCCTATAGACAATGCACTGATCGGGTGCTCACCTATCTCCGGGACAACCAAAATTAGAATAACGGTATTACGAACAACGGCCATTCACGTAATTTTTTCATGATTTGTGATACTAAAAAATATTATATACACCCAGTATAATTACTTATCGTCATTTATGTTAAAAAATAATATAAGGTATTTCATTTATATAATTGAATAAGTTATAAATTAAACGAAAGACCGAAAAAGTATTTATCTAAAAATGTGAACTACATTTAACTATTATTCTGGAGACTTATAATAATTATTGAATGTTTTTCTTTTTCTTTTTTTTTTATTGATTGTAAAATATTCTATTTAAAATTTCAATTAATATTGAACATTACATTATATTTTTAATAACAACATTATGTTTTAATAAAAGTATTCATCTTATACTTATTGTAGTTTTTTTTTAAATTTAATATCCATATATTGTTTGAAATTAATTTAAAAAAATGTATAAAAATAAATAAAACGTTAAGATTCACATGATAATAATAATATAAATATATTATAACTTATAAATAAGGGTTTCTTTAAGAATAAATCACAGGCATTATCAGCGTTTAGTAGCCTTTTAAAGGTAATAATGGCAATATGCATTTTGATTAGTTCTAAATGTTAAATTCTACAATATTATATCCTAAATTGTTTGTCAAATGTTCATTAGTCCCACAATATTCATCATTGGGTGTCTGTTTCATCATTTATCAACAGTTCATCAAATTAATACAGACATATTATACTTGTGTATAATAAGATTTTATTTATTACAAAAAAAATCATAAAAATAAATAACACACTTACATAGCTTCAACATTCCCTGCAAGCCCAACTTGTATTAGGAGAACAAGATTCTAAATATAACCTTAATTCATGTTAAATTTATGCAATATAAAAATAAAATATATATACTTACATTTAATCAGATTAATCTTATAATTGTCTACCTATTTTATAAATACAAACTAACCCAAAATAATTAAATTAGAATTATAGACATTTTTCATCAACATCTAAATTGTATCCAAATAGCTTAAAATTGTATATATTAATATTAAATATTTTACAAAAACTTGTTCCAAAAGTTTTTAGCTATAATATTAAAATAATAAAATATTTGTGGTGACGTGGTGTAATACATTTTAGAAAAACAGATTGTGTGAATGAGTGTAAGTTTGAGCTAAGCTTATTTATTTAAATATATTAATTAAATAGTATTAGTTACTTATTTTGTTTAGTTGGGAAGAATTATAATTTAAATCTGCTAATTTAAATAGTGTATGTATTATTTATATATAAATTATGGGATTTAATATAATTTTTATTAAACACTAAAACACAATGTTAAACTGATAGTAATAAATCGTTATATTTGTTACTTGTTACTAAGACTATGTCTAGTACGTTATATAGCTAACATTTTTTGGGCTAACCAAATTTTTATCAAAACCAATTACTCGCGTAGTAGTTTAAAACATCTAAATAGTTTAAATATTTTAAAATAAGTATAAATTGGTATTTTATATTAGTTTTTGGTTAGTAGCTGTAAATAATTAAATCAGAAAAATATTTTATAAACTAATATCAATGTATAACTGTAAGTTTATTTATAGATCTAAAATTAATACTGCTCTAATATATTTTTAAATGTATTTTTACATTTTATAAGGTTTAATTGTGAGTATAATATTTACATTTTTGATGTTTACTATTTAAGTACATCAATTTGTTAGTTTAAAACATACATTTGTATGCAGTTTTGATAAAAACGTACATACAGAGATGCTGATACACATCAATATGTGTATAACATGTATGTCATTGTATGACAGTTGAATGTTAAAAATAAAATTCTTTGAAAATTTATATACATAATATATTATATGTATAAAATATTTTAAGTAAAAGTAATAAACTCAATTATAATGGGTTGGTGCATCCATACAAATATATTACCTCGGTCACGATTCAATTTTTTATCTTATCTTGGGTTGATGTTATGAATAGGTTTTCAGTGTAAGCATTATATGTGTATAATTTTTCATTAGTTTATTGAATATTTACTTATTTTACTTATTTTGAAAAAAAAAAAAAAGTGACTTAACAAATAATACGAACCAATTATATAAATAAAACTAAAATATTCAGCCATTTTGAATTTATTTTCGATTTTAATTGTCAACCTTTTCATATTAAAAAATCGTAATAATATATAAATACCTGCCAAATATTACGGTTTTGATGTTATCTTATGTATAATATTACTGTTTGCATATAATAGCATGGAAATTAATAGTAAATTGTATCCATGACAACGTATAAATGCGTCACTTTTCAATATCACGATACAAAGTCGTTCAAATGAGTTTCTTAATTGCTGTTTAAGCTTCGTTGTCGCAAAAAAATATTAAATACCTAAAATAATATGCTACAGTTCTGACTCTAACAATTTTTACTATTTAGTCGTAAATTTGGAATAAAGAAACACTTAAATAACTAACTAATTATAATTTATAAGTAAATTATTTTTTAGTAAAATATTTAACTGTGGAAATTATATCTCCCATAAATTTCTTCTGAATATTCCTTTCCCCTCGTAAATCGTTGTCGGTCGTATTTATTTCTTATTTTTACCTATTATTTGATACATCATTCGCGCGCATACGAGTGCACTTTAACAAATAGTTTTTTGTGGTACGAGTAGTAACGAATGCTTGTGACATACTTAATATTAATATACATAAATACAGTTCAAATACAAAACAATATGGTATCTATTTATATAGTATAGTGCGGAAACTTGTTCTATGTCAAACGTGTATATAGAACCTGCATTTGATAAAAATTGATCGTATAAAACTTATATCATGCGTGGCAAACACATCGCCCAAAAGCGCGTGCGTGTACTAAAAATTGTAATCGATGTAAAGGAAAAGGAATAAAAACACCAATAACATCTTGGGTATTTCATAGATATGGTCCTCTGAAATTATCTGCGGCGCTCAAATGTCTAACGAGGGGTTTTATTCGTTTTCCTTTAAACGTCCGTAGTACATCACATCTGAAATTGAAAATACAACTTTCGATCTCCATATTATTATTATTACTATTATCATTTTACGTATGTTTTGAATACTCGTAATGAATTTGGCCTTAATGTATTTAACATATTATTTCACACAAAAGTACAATACGCAATATCCGAAAGATAGATGACAAGTTAAAAAATTAAATTGTATAAACTTAAGAGATGGATGATTACTTTTGTCTACAGCAACAATGGCAATCAATAAGCAATGGATAACTGAGAATAATACATAATCAGATATATATTAATATATACCTACTAAAAATATAAATGTATTATTTAAATGATAGGTATCGAACATTTTAACGTAAAAATACCTTACAATTTAGCTTGACTGTTGAGTTCATCAATGTTCGTAAGTATAATTAATTTATTGATAACCACCTAGATCAACTTTTAGACATAATAGTACAACAATATTATTTGATAATTCGTTCATTCGATCTGTTTATCATCCATATTACTACAATTGTTTTTCGTATAAAATAGCGATGTGATTGAAATAATTTAAATTCTATAGAAAAATAATCTCTAAATTTATATAGAATTTAAGTATAAGTATAAAATCCAAAAAATTAAATTGAAAAAAATACATAAGAATATAAATCATGTTATCGTGCTTAGAAAATTATACTGTATGAATATTATGTACGATAGTCGATAACCAATGATTTATCAGGTGAAGGTGGGTCGACTTGGGTGGCACTTTTTTATGGGTATATTTTCATTTCACTTTATTTTTTAAGTCAAATATTTTAATCTTGTTAGAAAACTTATTTTTTTTATAAATCTCGCCCAATTAAAAATCTTTAATTGAGTTATCATTTTTTTTTTTTTTCATAGTTTTTACGTAATTAAAATAAACCTATAACAGTAGGTGGTAATTAAATAATTAAATACATAGTCCATAATAAACAAAATGTCTTGCAAAACAAATAAGTAACTTATTAATTAAATATAAATTCACAGCAAATCAAAAAAAAATAAACAGAAAATACTCACTGGACAGTGGACAGACAATCATATTATGATGAATTCTTGCACGATCTTTTATGTAGTTTGTGAATTTAAAATTATTTTTATTTTTTTTTTTTAATTAAACTTGAGCCCGGCAACTAGGGTCACCATTAGCTATTGTAGATGTTATGAACTGTGGTTGGGGTATGGTTTGTACGGTAGGTTGTTTTTACGATAGTTACGGTTGATAGCAAACACGTGTATCCGTAACAAGATTTTTAACTACTATGAATTAGGGTTAAATGGTCACCCATCCGGGAACTAGTAGCTGTGGTCATTATTTGCTCCAAATCGCATTCCGCAGACTGGTAACAGCTAACGCGCTACGCCAAACCATAAAATTAATTCAAATCAATACTTAATTAATATTATGTAATCAAATACTATCTATTTAATCATTTTTGAATATTAACACATATGTTCCTAAAAATGATCTTATTAAATGTGTTATTAATTAGTTCAATTGTAAAATCAGACATCATTTATTATTATTTTTTTTTTGAAATTAAATATTTCAATAACAGTTAACTAAAATTTTAATTTTAATCTCAATCCAACTATTTATCTAAGTCTTTTCATTTATAAGAAAAACTATACTCAATTTGACTCATCCGTTGCATTTATAAATTACAATAAATACAAACAAAACTAGCAAAAAATATAGTATGTATGCCTTTTTAGTATAAATACCTACTTAAAGGCAGTTTGAATAATCAATTTTTTTCATAAATACTAAATAACTTGAAATAAAATAATTATTTAAAAAATACAAAATAACAAAATATAGCAATTGCAAACATAATTGAATTTATAATTTTAATAATTACAATTTTTTTTATCTACTTATTTACAAAGTTTTATTTTTATTTAAATAAAGTGAAAATTTAAAAAATAATTATTAAACTGATGATGAGAATTAATTCTTCTGATATTTAATCTTGATTAATTTTCAAAAATAAAAATAGTGTAAATAAAAAATATACAACCTAATGAGTTTTATATTATAGTACTATAATAGCCTAATAGTAAGCACA